ACAAAATGGGAAAATTTAAAAACACAAATATACCAAGATCTCCACATCAAGTCAGGCTAGGTTTTTCTTTTCTTTCTTTTTTTTCATTTCTTCAGTGCTGGGGATGGAACTCAGGGTCTTAGTACATGCTAGGTGAGAGCTCTACCACTGAGCTATATCAGAAGCCCATGGTTAGGTTTTACTATCAAGCTAATTCAAAGGAAAACAAATTAAGTAGGGCATGATGGCATGCCTGTAGCCCCAGCTATTCAGGAGGCTGAAATGGGAGGATTTCTTGAGCCTAGGAGTTTGAAAGTCTGAGTTCAAATTCAAAAGTAGACTGGGCAGCTCAGGGATACCTCTTCTCAAAGAAATCAAAAAAGAAAAAAAAAGAAACACAAATTGAAATTGTGAGCAAGAGCTCTAGCTATCTGTGACTTCCTATCTCAAATATCAACCTTGTAAGGGCAAGATGCATAACTGTGATGTTAACACACCTACCTGCACAGCCCAGGGCCTGACTCAGCATTCCTTCCTAAGTGTCCACAGAATCAATCAAGAAAAGAGCAGGCTTCCTAAACTGCTGCATCCCAGGTTCCTGGAGTTCAAGGGTGAGTAAGAATGTTTTCTTGCAGGGCGCTGATGCCTCATACCTGTAATGCTAGCTACTCAGGAGGCAGAAATCAGAAGGATCACCCATTCAAAGCCTCAGGCAAATAGTTCTCATCACAAAAAAGGGTTGGTGGAGTGGCCCAGTGGTAGAGCCACCTAGCAATTGTGAGACTGAGTTCAAACCCCAATGTCACACAAAAAAAGGTTTTATTCTATGTAACTTCATTGGGCATAGTTCATTAATTTCTATCCTTTACATATACAAGGCTTTGAGAAAAAACAACTGGGCAACATCTCAAAGGACAATGGCTCCAGGGAAATGTTTAAATTAGTAGGTAAACCCAACTTCTAACTTAGAGGAAGTATGGAAAACAGAAGAACGTGTTAAATAATACCACAGAGAGGCAATGAGCAGAATTCAGACTACCAAGAGTCTACAAGACAAATGACCTAAGTTCTTCAACAAATTAATTTCCAAGACAGAAAAAAAAAATAAAGTTGGAGGGGAACCTGGAGATTAATAGACTTAGAAGACATCAAACAATTATAAAACACTGGCCACGTACCAACACATTTTTAAAAACGTTCAGGACACTTAAATCATAAATTTGAACACCATTTATTAATTTTTTTAATATTATTTTTGAAGTTATGTATGACTTTTAGGTATTATAATTTTACTTCCCCCTTTTTTTTTTTTTTTGCAGTACTGGGTTTGAACTGACTCAGGGCCTATACCTTGAGCCACTCCACCAGCTCTTTGTTTTGACTGTTTTTTCAAGATAGGGTCTCACAAACTATTTGCCTGGGTTGGCTTCGAACTGCGATACTTCTGATTCTACCTCCTGAGTTGCTCAGGTGTGAGCCACAGGCGCCTGGCTTATTTTGGGTTTTTCTGGGAATAGTACTAGGGATTCAACTCAGGGCCTCCAGCTTACTAGGCAAGGGCTCTATCACTTGAGCCATGCCCTCTGCCCTTTCTGCTTTAGTTTATTTTTGATAACCGTCTCCCACTTTTGCCAGGGTCAGCTTCAAACTGGAGATCCTCCTGCCTGCCCCTCCCTCCTTGTAGCTGGGATTACAGCATGTACCACCACATCTGGATTGTTTTGAGACAGGGTCTTACTATGTTGCCCAGACTGGCCTGGAACTCCTAAACTCAAGTAATCTGACTCAACCTCCTGGATAGCTAGAACTACAGATACACACTACCACCAGCTGGTATTATTCTTAAAAATATATATATATGTACTCCCCAGAAAACCCTCCATGTGAGCACACACACATACTTGGGAAGTCCCACCCAGCAACCCCCTCCCTGGCTCGTACCCCTCTTCTGTGCGAAGAGTAGCAGGAGGCAGGTGAGACCTTTGAGCACTTCAGCCATGACCACAGCTGTGGTGGCAAAGAAGCGGTCCCCAGGCAGTGTGCGGGCGTAGCGGATGCTGAGGATGAGGGAGGCATTCTGGACCACCAGCACAGCTAGGGATATGTACTTGAGGCGCCGGTGAGCTGTAGGGAATGGAAGGGGCAGGGAAAGGAGGGGGTCAGAAGCTGCTGAGGCATACCCACACTACTACCCATCCCTGCTCCTCTGCAACTCCCCCCTCTGCCTGCCCACCTTGACCTAATAAGGGTCTGACCCCTATCTGCTTCCACTCAATTAGCTAAAGGCAGGAAGTCAGAAAGGGAGAAGCGGAACCCACTGTCCAGATCATACCTGGAATCCCTGCTGAGGTGTCAGCAAATTTATAGGCCCTGGATACCCACCTCAGCTCCCTCTCCCTCCACTGAGAAGCAACTCTCTTCCTGACAGAATGGCAGCAACTGCATTCTCAACGTTTACTGTGTGCTTACTGTGTGCCTATCACTGGGCTACAGAACGTATATGGATTACCTCAAATGAACTCATATGTCTGTGGTCTCTGAAGGAACTATGACGACTCCCATTTTATGGGTGATACTCCTACTTAATGAGGGATAGTCCTATGTAGAAGAATAACATCCCAATACAGGGAATGGGACCATTGCAGAAGGTATGATCACCCCTAAGGAATGGTTATTTCTTCCATTTTCCCCCATTGTCCCAAGGATTTAACCCTATATGATGAGCCATTATCCCAACAAAAATGGTCTGTTTTCCTCAGTCACACAAGGAAACACTTCCCTATACTCCACATGGTCCATCCTCCCACCCCTGCACACCCTCCCTCCTCAGCCAAGGAATAATTCCTTGCTCTACCTACACTCACAATGAACTCTTTAGTATAAGGAAGGACTCGGTACCCTCAGAATGTTCTTTCTCTGACATACTAGGAAGAATCCCTCCCACTTTAATATACAATGAGCTCTACCTCCATTAGGAAGGGACCTCCCCAGAACATTTTTCTCCCCATATAATGAAGGCCCTTCTCGTCCTCAAAATGGACCCGCTGGTACACAAGGAAGAACCTGCCCCACCCTGACAATTTACAAGGAAGGAACCACCACCGTCGGAAGTCTTTCCCTTGTAAGAATTCCCACGCCCTCGGAATGGTCTCTCCCTTCCATAAGGAAGCCCCGCACACTCCGCACTCCGAATGGTCTCGGTGGTCTTAGTCTCCCCAAAAGGAGATTCCCTCCACATTCAGAAAGGTCTTTATTTTCCAAATGCGGGACCCTACCCGGAGGCATTCTCAGAACAGTCTGTTACTGCCCCTAATACACACTATTCCGTTCCGTCCTCTTCTCCTTTTCCAACAACACACACATATAGATCGGTCTATACCGGATGCTCCCTGTCACTTCAGTGAGGACCCATTCCGACCTTCAACGCTCCCGACCTCCGCCCCGCCGTCGACTGCTCGGCCCCAGCGCGTCTCACCCGCACTCGCGGTCCCAGGCTCCAACGTCCCCGCGGAGACCGCCCCTGGCCCGGCCGCCGCGGTGGAAGCACCAACCCCAACCGCTGCCATGTTGGCATCTGCCCGGCCCGTCCCCTCGGCAACAGCAGGCGACTTCCGTGTCCGTAACTTCCGCTCCCGGGCCTCTGGGTTCAGGGCGGGAAGACTACCCGAATGGCCCGTGTCGTGGCCTTCCTCTACCGCGTCTAAGAGTGAAGCTAAGATGGTGGCCTAGGGCTTTCCAAATCCGTCAGACCGTTACAGGAGGATGCGGCCGGCTGGTTCTCCGACCGTCTTTATAGAACCTCATTGGCCCATTCTTGCCCGTCTCCCATTTGTCTGCCTAACTAATCCCGAACACCATACCCCCCCGCCCATCTTGTCTCATGACCTTACTGGTTTAGGGACTCCGTCACCTCTGCTCTTTTATTGGCAACACCTGCAGATGACACCGCCCTTTTTCGTATCAGGAACTCCTAGGTCTTTGTGGTTGGACTGAAGTTCCTCTTTCCCGGCCAGATCCCGCCTCCTCGAGGGTCCGCGGAGACTTCTAGGGGCGGGGCAAGCGAGTGGCTGAGCCAAGAGGCGCTGGGGACAGGTGAAGAACTGGCGAGCACATCCAAGCCTTCCACTTGAGTTATACGAGTGTGAAGGCAGAGTTCTGATAGAGTATCTTGACGTCCTCAGAATGTTCTGACATAATCCCTCCCGAATGGGCGCGGGGGTTCACGCATGGAATCCTAGCTACCCAGGAATCAGAGATCAGGAGGATCACGGTTCAAAGCCAGCCCGGGGAAATAGTTCGGGAGCCCCTATCCTGGAAAAACCCCACACAAAAAAAGGGGTGATGGAGCACCTGCTTAGGAAGAAAGAAAACCTCCCCCACCTCAATATATCATGAACTCTCTCCATGAATAGAGAAACTCCACAGAACATTACAATTCCTGATAGTGTCCATTTCCCATTCTTTCCTAAATTATAGAAGTCAGGTTCTTCTCACCAGAATTAAGAGCACAACAGTAGGGCCCCTGTATCAAAAATCACCCCCCCCAAAAAAAACCCCATACTCAGAGCCCTGGGATACCAATAGGATATTATTACCTCCTTCCAGAATAAGCAATTCTTGGGATGAAATAAGCAAGCTGCTTAACTGAATATATGGGACTCTTGGCTAGGGGAATGGGCCCTGACAGATTTTAGATAGGAAAATGAGGGAGGCAGAACTGAGGCAGGGTCAAGTGACAGCAAGATAGAATGATGATCATGTAGGGAGAATACAAGGGTTCACAAGATTTAGAGCCCCAGTCCTGTCAGTGTCCTAAAGGGAATGTTTCTTTTGAGACAAGGTCTCTATACTGGAACCTCCGGCCTCAGCCTCAGTGCTGAGATTAGAGGGGTACCACCACTCTTGGTTCTGAGAGGGCATTTCTTCAACAAGGAAGGAATTTCTTCCTTCCAGTAGTCTACCGTAGGCTCCACATACAGTACATGCTCCACAAACACCTGCCTGTACACATGGTCAGTCGCTTGTGATTTTATTTATTAAATAGTGGGTTTCCACACATGGCTTTTTAAATAATCCAGGCAGGGGTAGAAGGGACTGGAGGGCACACTTGTAGCTCTCCTACCTCCAGTACACAAGTATTTACATTTTAGCAATGGGACAATCCTGGCTCAGTAGGAGGCAGCAAAAGTTGGAGAGGGGGGACCCCAGGAGAATAAACAGCAGGACATTTCCCCCAGCCCATCCCCCCCAAAACCATCCATTCCCATCTTTGTCTCTGGTGGTGTCCGGTGGTGTCCATCTCCCATTCCTTCCTAAATTATGGAAGTCAGGTTCTTCTCACCAGAATAAGAGCACTTGGGGTAACATTAGGGTCCCCTCACCAAAAATCACCAAAAAAGAAAAAAAAAAAAAAAAGAAAACCCAACACCCACACACAGAGCCCTAGGATACCAATAGGGCATTACCTCCCCCAGAATAAGCAATTCTGGGATGAGATAGGCAAGCAGCTTGACTGAATACATGGGACCCTCAGCTAGGGGAAAGGGCCCTTTTGCTAAAGAAAGAGCTGCTGGGGTATTTTAAGGAAAGCACCCTTGCCCAAGTGAGAGCATTTGAACTAAGTGTCTAAGTTTGTGTGGTGGTAGTATAGGAGGTGCCAGTGTAGGGGTTACAACTTGTCAGAATGAAGAGCCCTAGGGCTCAGAAGGGAAATCTCCAACCAAATCAACATCCTGAACAGAACAAGTGGCAAGGAATTTCCCCCTCCAGAATAAGGGACCACAGGTTCTGGGAGGAAGGCTTCTTCACAGGATTGGGATGGGAACTGGGCAGACTTGGCTCATCTTCTGACCCCTGAACCCTAATCCCTGACCTTAGTAATACTGGATTTTTAACAACCTGTATAACCAGGTCAACAGATGTCCATCTATCCCTGTGGCATGACCATGGGATTCCAACCAGTGGGAGCCTGGTGGGCCTAGGGAAGCAGGGACCACGCCAAGGGGGTGGGGCTTCCTTTGGGGGGGTTGAGGGGCACTTCCTCAGCTGGTGTTTGCATCCAGGGGTCCAGTAGGATCTCCTCCAGTGAGGGTCGGGAAGAAGGTTTAGGGGCCAGGCACCGGCGGATTAGGGCACAGCAGTCTGTGGGTCAAAAAGCACAAGGAGATATTAACAGTCAATAGGGGGTACCAGTTCTTGGGAAAAATGGAGTCTGCTGGACTGGGGTCAGTGCAGGCCTCACCTGGGGAGACATGGGCAGGGAAGTGGAGCTCAGCTTCCAGAATCTCTTGGTCCCTCTCGAAGGGAATGTCCCCACACACCATGTCATAGAGGAGAACGCCCAGTGACCAGACAGTGGCTGGGAGGGCGTGGTACTGGTGTCGAGAGATCCACTCTGGAGGGCTATACACCCTTGTCCCTGCACACAAGCCAAGGGTTAGATCCCTCTCTGATGATACCCTTCTTCAATCTCTAGTCCCCAGGGAAGTATGGAACTCACTGTAGGGGAAGATCTTGTCACCAGAATAGTAGCTGTTTAAATAGAACAGCAGAGTCCCATCACCAGACAAACAGCAGCGAAAATGTCAGAGTCCCCTCAAAAGAATGAAAGCACTTAAAAAAATATCAGTAAGGTCCTTCTAGCAAAAAAGGAACACTCAGGATTCCTCTCTGTAATTACAGCCCAGAACATGACTAGGGCCCTGCCAGTAAATGGACTTTACTAGAGATCTATCTAGGCCTAAGACTCCCAAGTACTAGAAATCAAGAACCTTATAAAGGTGCAGTGTAGATCAAGGGTTACAGAACACACTATTAGAGATCAAAGGTAAGGAGGCTAGAAATATTAAAGGTTAAAAACCTTACCATCAAAGTCAGTGTAGGGTTCATCATGAAGCAGGGCACCAGAACCAAAATCGATGAGTTTGATACAACCCCGGCAGAGGTCTATCAGGATGTTCTCATCCTTGATATCGCGGTGGACAACTCCACGGGCATGGCAGTGCTGGACAGCTGCCACTACCTGGGTAAAGAAGCAGCGGCTTCGGCTCTCACCCAGTGGACCCTTCTCTGTGATGTAGTCAAAAAGATCTTGGGCAGGCATAGGCCGCTCAAGGACCAGCATGAAGCCTTCTGGAGTCTCAAACCAGTCAAGCAGGCGGATCACGCCAGGATGCCCACTGCCTTCACCCACCTTCCAAAGCAATGCCACTTCGAGTGGGCATGTGACTGAGTCTGGCTGGGGGTAAAAAGCAAAGAGAAAAGAGAAGGCAGATGTCAAGTCAGTAGCTGAGGCCAATTTCTCCCCAAGTTCATTTTATAGCCCCTTGGCTTCCTGCCTATGGCTTTCAGCAACCTACCTCCACCTTAGTATGCTAGCCGTTTTTTTTGCATTACTGGAACTTGAACTCAGGGCCTACACCTTGAATCACTCCACCAGCCCGGTTTTATGTTTTTTTTTTTTTTGGATAGGGTTTCGTAAACTATTTGCCCAGGCTGGCTTCGAACCGAGATCCTCCTGATCAGCTAGGATTACAGGCATGAGCCACTGGCGCCTGGCCAGTATCCTAGTTTTAATGTCTTGAAGTAACTGGGGAGTGTGGGTCAAACCATACAGCATCTGCCTAGCAAGTGAGGCTGTGAGTTTAACTACACACACACACACACACACACACACAAAGGAGAGAGGCCTCAAAGTCATACAGAAGATGAATTGAGCAGAGATTATACACATCTAGCATGTAGGCATTCAGTAAATGTTTAAATGGAGATGATTTTTAAGAAAAATTTTTCTGCAGAAACACTATTATGTATTATATTTTATTGACTTTGTTCACAGATTAGAATGGCACTTTTAGGCAGTAAGTGCTCAATTAAGTGTTAAACAAATGAAAACAGTTTGCAGTACAAGGTCTGACATGGAGCTAACACACTATCATTTTACAATGGTCCAGGTTTTTTTGGTGGTACTGGGCTTCAAACTCAGGGCCACCCATTCCCCCAGCCCTGTTTGCTTTAGTTACTTTTCACATAGAGTCTCATACTTTTTGCCCTTCACGTAGGTGAGCCACCCTGCTCTGCAGGTTGTCAGTTTTGTTCACATACCTCAAGTGCCAAACAGTGCCTGTTAACAGGGTAGGACTCAGTATTTGTTAAACAGGTGGATGCAATTAGTAGATAGGGACTTAGCACAAAATGAGCTCTAATAAATAATGCAGTATTTTCAAGTTCTTATAATCATGCCTAGCACATAGTAAGCACCCAATTTTATGGGTTAACAATTCATTTGTTAAATAGCATAAAGTGACTAACTGCAGAGGACCTGGCAGAGTAAAAACTATTACATGATCGTCACTGCCACCCAGCACCTAGAATAGCTTAATAACGGGTCTTCTCTTGCCTCCAAACTGTGCGCAGTGACTGCCAGAAGGAGACTTCTTGCGTGAGGTGGGGCCCTTTAGAGGCCACACCGCACAGCCGCAGACAGGTTTTCTCACGGAGATGCAAATTCTGCTGCTGCGCAGGCGCACCCTCTTCCTCTGAGTCCCACGGCCTGCGCAGGCGCTGTTTCCAAAATGCCCGCAGGGGGCGCTCTTTTCCCTACAATTTACCCAGACCCGCCCTGATGTCCGTTAGTGTTCAGAGGCAATGAGAAGCAGCTAGCATCACCTAGCATCACCATGGCAACCAGTGACCTATGCCACTTTCCCCATCAGGATGCCCTGTGGGCAGCCCCCGAAGCAATGCTTGAAAGGAAGATGAGAGATCTGAAGAGGAAAATCCAGGGCTTTGGGGGAAGTGAAGTGAATCAGAACTGTGTCACCTCAAGGAGTAAACATAGGCTGGTGGGAGTGCTCTCACTGCTACACAGGTCCAGGGAATCACATCCCCTTTAAAAACCAAGGGATTAAGTTCAGGTCAAGGAGGACATCAAAGATACTCACCAAGGTGGACCAGCCCAGCACACGATTTCGAGAGATCACTTTGATGGCCACCTGGAGAAAAGAGCCGAGATAAGGAGGCCAGCATAAGACCCTCACAGACACCTGACAATCTAAACCCTCCACCTCCTTTGTGTTCACCTGCCAGTACCATAGTATTTCTGGTTCTCAAACACACTACACCTCATATAATAGGCCAGGACTTCTAACCTCCACTTCATAGCCCCCAGAACCAATTTTGCTTCTTCCCAACCATGCTTAGGCCTGGATTCTCTCTTCCTTGGGCATCAGGACCCCTCAATTCTAGGGATTGAGTTGTACCCCCTCTTTTGCTTTTGTAATGCGGGGGGAGAGGCAATAGCTCTACCCCTGATCCACATCTAATTTCTTGACACCTTAAGCCCTCGATCTTTCTATTCATCTCCAGGACACCCCAACTCTGCACCGGGGTCCTGGTCTCACAACTCCATATTTTTAGTATCTACCTCCCAAATCCCCCAAATCTCCATCTAGGCCCCCACCTTCATATATGTATGCATATATGTACATGTATATATATATATATAGATACATATATATACCCCCTGTGTCTTGGGGTTGAGTCCTCAAGAACCCCACTCCCCAGCCTAACTCCCTAAATCTCCGGAATTCCTGCCCTGAAACCTCCTACCTCCCTCCCCCAAATCCACCTGGACTGCCACAGAAGGGCGGGCATGCGCGCGCGCGACTGGCACCCCCTCCCCTCAGCAACCCGCATCCTGGTCCTCATGACCCTACCTCACACATTGCAGGCTACCTGAGTCAACCAGCATCCCAGGTCAAGGACCCCCAAACCCTGCCAAACACACCTGACTCTCCGAAGACGCTCGTGGTGCATACCTGGAGTCGATCTGTGACGCGGTGTCCCGCAAAGACGGTGCCAAAGCCCCCCTTCCCCAGGAGGGGGCCGAGTCGGTACTCGGCCTCGAACGCTGCCCGATCTTTGCCTCCTACGCAGGCGGAGGCGAGGAAGTCAGGGTGGCGGCGTACTGAGCCTTGCCATGACTCCCCAGCCCCCGCACCGGCACCCACCATTCCGGCCGACCCCACCTTGTCGCGGAAGGGGAGTCTGCGCTCACCTGGCGGCTGTGTGGGGGTCACGGGGGGCGCAGGGAGCCCTTGAAGAGGCTTGGTCAACATGGAGGAGGTACTGCGCAGATTGAGCCCGCTGAATCCGCTGAGCCCGCAGGGCGTGGACGCCCGGGGCAGCGCGGCTGGGGAGCCAGGGCTGGGGGGCGCCAGGGTGGCAGGCAGGGAAACTGGTGGCCCGGAAGCGCCCACAGACGGCGCAGCGTTAAGATTCGTCGCGCGCGCCAGCCCCAACGCTACTGAGCCGGGGCACGCGCCTCCCGAGAGAGTCGCTCAGAGCGACAGCCCCGCCCACCTGGCTTTGATCAATCCTGACGCGGCACCTGCTGTACCCCAGCCAATCGGAACTAGCCCTTATTTGCAAACCACCCTCAACACTTCAAGTGCCCTCTTATGCAAAATACGCCTGGTTCTTCCGCGGAGGCGGAGCCTGAATGCAAATGATGGGGGCGCACACGGAGAAGAAACCGGTTCTGGGAATCCCTATGCAGCAACCCGCGTTTGTTTTGGTTGAGCAGGGTGGTTGGTGGTGGTGGTGGTGGGGGGGTGTGTTATGTGTGTACACTTAAAAAATAACTGCGCAGCCTCCTTTCTTAGGAAGCTGGTTTGTCGTCGCTGTAGCTGCCTCAAGATTAGCACGGAGATAGCTCCAGGCCATTTTTTAAGACTCTGGGCCTGGGGCTTAATCTGTCTGGAAAGGTACTTTCTCACCCAGGACCAGAGTTCTTTAAGCAACCGGCAGCCTTCGCCTGAAAACTGAAATGAGGCCCCCCAAAGAGTCTGTCCAGTCCTCGGGGAGGGGTAACATCCTTGACCACTGCCGTGGGAGGTACACTGATTCTCACACTGCGGGGTGTTTTGCAACCTTTAACCTAGGCAACACCTGACCAGTTAGTGGGTCTAGGGTCTTAAACAGGAGGCATTGGTTCTTGTGGGGGCTGAGTTTCTGAGAGAGAGAGACCAGGGAATGAGGCCATGGTAGAGGCTTCAAAAGTGGTAAAAACAGTTACATGAAAAATGGCCAGAGAGGGCCTCATGCTCCAGGAAGACAGACATGCAACTCCAGAATCACAGAAATCCGTGAGATATGCACAAACAAGCACTGTGACACATTTATGTGAACTTGTCCTAGACCATATGCAGAGTCAGAAAAGTAATGTCTCAGAATTGACACTCAACATTATAGAAAGACAGACACTTCAGAAACTCACATGGACTTACAATACTGTGACAATACAGAAACATTCTGCTACATACTGACAAACTTGTTACAAACACACTGGCACCACCAGACATGCACTATCACAGAAAGACTTGTATTGTCCCAGAAATTATGGACCCAGAGTCTGTCACAAGAAGAGACAGATGCTCCAGAGATACACATGCAGTGTTCCAAAGGCAGGCATGTAGTGATGTGAGAGCCACACAGGTTGGCAGTGTCACAAAAAATGGACATGGACAGACCCAGTCACAAACACACCATCAGACATGCAGCCTTGTCACTGCAACAAACTGTACAGAAATAGCTACTTAGTATCTGTCACAAACGGACATCCACCCCATCAGACAGAAACCACAGATGCACTGTCACAGACAGACCCACGCAGACATGCACTTATCTCAGATACAGACACAAACTGTTAGAGTCCCACAGTCACCATCTGACACACCTGGAAACAAGCCCTCATCTCTCTCTCTCTCACATACTGGAGACACACTGAGATGCACAGAAAAATTTGGACTCACTGCAGTCACACACACAGACATTTTTCAAAAAGCAAACACGTGATCTCTCTTGTTCACGCGACATTACCAGTAGTCTACTATCAGCCTGCCAGGCTTTGGTGGGAGTGCTGATCTTAAGACACACACACAGCCCCCTGGCCAGGAAGTGTATTTCTAGTAGTTGTTGCTGATATTTGTAAAAATGCGAATGGGGTCAAATGGCTTCTCAGGTGACCCTCTATCTCTCAGAGAAGGGAAGGGCAAATTGCAGGTGGAAACCAAATGGTGCATAAACTTCTACAATAGGATAATCAATCATTTGTGCTCTCAGAATGTGCAGGGTACTATGCCCACTGGTACATTATGTTGCCATATACATTCTCTGTCAATGCTCATAATCACAGGGAGCAGGAGGTAGTAGGTTACTCACCACCCCTGTAGTTGAAGGGACACTTGACACTCAAGAGGCCCAAGGCCACACAGGACTAGAAAAGGCAGAGGTAGGTTTCAAATCTTGCTTGACCATTACATTGCAGATGCCCTGCAGCCAGCCACTAGGTATGTCATGCCCCCACCTCAGTGCCAAACATTCTTGGGGTCTACAGAGACCCCCATAAAGGAGGCATGGCAAAAAAAGATGTTTTGAGAAAACCTGGGGATCAGCCTGCCCCTAAGAGGGGGAGGCTCAGAGGTGTCAAGAGGACTGGTGAAGAACAAAAAAAAAGGAATTAGCCATTTCATTCTTCCAGCCAAGGACGTGCCTCTGGTCATTTCCACCAAACTCATGTTGCTAATGCAAGTGTCAGTTGTGCATTTCCAAAGCATTTCCCCATCAGATTCACAAGAAAGAGCAAACATTGATGGTGAGAGACAGGAGGAGGGGGTGGAGGCAAGAGCAGTTGGAATTCAGATGGGACGTTCAATCTCTGTCCCATGCTCCCATTCCCCAACCCTCCCCCCAGGAATTATGGTAGGCAAGAGTGGGGACAGACAAAAGAGATTTTTTTGGTAACAGACCCTGAAGGTGGTTTGTTGTTTTGTTTGCTTTTTAAAGGACAGAGGCTGCCTATGTTGCTCAGGCTGGCCTTGAACTCCTGGGCTCTAGCAATCCTCTGGTCTCAGCCTGGAGAGTATCTTGGACTACAGATACATACCACTGCACCTGGCCAGAAGAAAGTTTAATAAACAGTTAATCAAGTATGAACCCCAACTTGCAGACACATTGTACTGGAGATCATGTGGATCTCAGAGGTCAAGCCGAGCCCTGTGTCATCACCTCCTCTTCCCAGAGTCCCACCCATCCCCTGCCCCACACAGAACAGAGCAGCTCAGGGAAACTGACATTTGGTTTTATTGTGCCAAGGACATTACAGATGGTAGATCTTGTCAACACCTGCAGGGCACGGGTGCCCCATCTGCCAAGGCTGCTCCCACGCCCTACACTCAAATCCTGGGTGGCGGCTATGATCTCCAAAGATGCCCCCCCACCTCAAGATTCCAGAGACTAGTGGTGGTGGTGGAAGCAAAAGGAATGCAGCAAGGTCAGGGTCTCATTGTCCAAAAACCAGTGTGACGTTTGCCACTCCTGTCCTGCCACCCTGGTTTACACCCTAGGCCCTCTGTCCACCTCCAAGGAGCTGGAGGCCAGAAAACAGCAGCAACCCACGTCCTTGCGTACCCTCCATGCCACATGGCCAGCCTGCCTGCCCCCAAACCAGAAAGATGCCGCCTTCACAGAGCCAATGCTGTCGTTTACATCTTTTTGATTGGTTGATTTTATAAGATAAAAGTACATTTTAATAAAGAAAAATTCAACATTGAAGGCTCAGACATTCTTAGGGTACTGGGAAGGGAAATTTCCCACTTCTTCCTCCCACCTCCCTGGCATCACTGTGGGGAGAGGGGTGACAAGCTTATCTGATCTCAGAAGAAGGGTGAGCAGGAGACTTTCCTTTGTCTCTCTCCTCTGGGGCTGCCTGGCTGCCAGGTGGTCTTTCTCTGTGTGCCTCTCGCCTACCTTTGGCACCCTTGCCAGAGTCCCCTGTGGAATGCAGGGATGGTGCTGTGCAGGGGGCAACAGGGCACATCAGCTGGCGGAGATGAATAGTGGTGGCAGGAATGAGAGGGAGCGCAGGGTGGGCCAGCCAGACAGAAGTAGAAAGGAGGCAAGAGAGGGAAGAAGGGAAGGAGGTAAGAGGGAAGAAGAAAGCCAAAGAACGTGGGGTGGCACCAGAGGGCAGGAGTACAGGGTTGGGAGATGGTATCCAGTCCCTGGGTCTCCATCAACTCTTGTCTGGGGGTGGGTCTCTGTGCACTTTGTTTTTCTTCATACTGTCTAGGTATTCCTGTTGGGACACTGCCAGCACCGATGCTAGGATCTCATCATCATCCCAGTCATTCAGACCTGCTGGGCAGAAGAGAGAAGAGGAAAAGGATGATGGAGCACCCTTGCTCTTGGCTGATTCGTGGCTCTGGAGAAACCCCAACAGGTCCCTGTTACCACTTTCTCTCATAGGTTCCCCCCAGGCCTGTGAGAACCCACTAGACCCCCATTGTGGGGAAAACTCCTTGGGCCTGAAAAACTACCCTGGTGCCTCTGACTTCTTTTCATGGGGAGATGTCCAGAAGCTCTAGAAACCCCCTCTTAGGATTTGCTGTTTCTTCCCAACTCCCAAATGGCCAATCACCAGAGGAAACTTACCAAAGGCAGAGGGGGACATCTGCTGAATAAGGGCTCGGCACTCCAGAGCAGGGTAGAGGGACACGAGAGGGGAAGTGGCCCGGTCAGCCCCTGCCGAGAACTGACTGCTTGTACCTAAGGTAGATGAACACTCAGAGGTAGGGCCCAGGACACACACAGGCAGGACCTAACACCAGCTCTCATCCTGCAATCAAGTCACTGACCTGGTGCACAGGGTGAAGGAGGTTTGGCAAGAGCTAAGACTGTGCCTGGGGAAGGGGGCTTGATGCCCAGCTCGGCATGCAGCTCAGGGTGCTCAGGTGATGAGGCTGAACTCCGCTGCCTTGGAGACCGGCTAGTCCACTCCTCTAGACCACTGGAGGCTGCTGCCGTGGCAGAACTGCATGTGGCGCTGGCTTTCCGGGGCTGTGGTAGGGAAGGAAATATAGTAAAGACTTACACCAGCCACTACAATTCTGAGCCCCAGACCCAAGTACTCCTCCCTTCTCAGGTTCCTGGCTATGATACAGGGACAGGGAATATCCCTGTCATTCCCACTCATAAAATGGACCCCAGGGTGCCTCACAGGACATAGGTTAAGTTTCTTAAACTCACTCTCTCACTCTGTTGAAGCCAACTAACAGAAGTTCTACTCCCTCTACTTTCAAGAATCAACTGGAGCACCAGTGGCTCACACCTGTAATCCTAGCTACTAGGGAGGCAAGAGATCAGAAGGATAGCAGTTAGAGACCAGCCTAGGCAAAAAAGTTTGTGAGACCCTATCTCAAAAATACCCAACACAAGGGCTGGTGGAATAGCTCAAGTGGTAAAGCGGCTACCTAGCAAGCTTGAGGCCCTGAGTTCAAACCCCAGTGCCGCCGAAGGAAAACAAACAAAAAAAAACCCAACACAAAAAAAGGCTTGTGGAGTCTGCCTGCCTAGCAAGCATGGGGTCCTAAGTTCAAACACCAGTACTCCCAAAAAGAGATCTTGAATCCAACCCCTTCTCACTACCGCAGCCAGCACCATTACCAGTCACCTGGACTACTACAATAGCTTCCTCCTCACTGGGCCCCTGCTTCCTCCTTTGTCCCCCATCTGACTCTAATTCTACAATCAGTAGTCAGGGGGATCCTGTAAAGTTCTAACTCAGATCCCACCGTTCCTCTGCTCAAAATTCTCCCATTGTTTCTGTCTCACTCAGAGTAAAAGCCCAAGCTTTCATTATAGCCCACAAACCACACCCAACCTGACCCCACTAATCCCTGACTGCATCCACTACTACATTCTGTTCAGCCGTACTGGTCTTACTACAGGCTGTGCCTGAGTCACATCAGATGTGCTGGCCTGGTCCTCTGCCTTCCTGGTCCTGGCACTCAGCTAATGTACTCCCCTTCTACAAGCTTTTGCCAAAGTATTACGTCCTCTAAGGCCCACCCTGACCACACTGTTTAATACTGTGAGCTATCACCTATCCCCACTGAGCCCTACTCATCCCCTGTATCCTGACTCTCCATTCTTCTTCCATGGCACCTCTCAACTAATTTACTCATTTTGATTATTTGTTTCATTCTATATCACAAGGACAGGGATCTTGGCCTGCTGGGCTCACCAAAGCATTCCAGTATTCTAAGAGCTCTTTCAAGTATCTACAATCACTCTAAACTCTTTATTTTCTCAGATGCCTGTCTGCCCTCCCCCTCCCTACTCTTACAATAAAACCTTTCCCTGGGTCCTCCCCAACTTTCCCACCTCCACTGGTCTTGCAGTCAGGTTCATTGGGCCCCAGTGATGATGAGTCTGTCTCCTTCAATAGCTGGACCACTGAAGGCAGAGAGGGCTGGACCAGATTTTGTATCCTCACTATGGAAGCTGGTGTGCAAGGGTATTCAACAAAAGCTTGTCTTTGTGCAGTTATCCATCACTTTTGTGTGTCACAGCAGCAGTAGCTGCTCTCCATCACTCCTTTAGAGCTTGTTTTGCACAAGTGTTGAGACTTCCAAGGCACAAAGCCAAGACTAAGACCAAGATGAGTGACAATGGAACTGGTAGCTTCTCTCCATCCCTGATGTCAAAACAACTTCATTTTTTCCTGCTTATTTGAGGCAAAATGTGGGAATTACTGGGGTTTTGGGCAGGCCAATGACAGAGTCTAAGACGTACCTGGCTAGGGCCTCGGACCTGGCGGGCCTGTTTCTCCTGATCCCTCAGCCACTGCAGGTAGGATTCTCGAGCCACCTGTTCTTCTATGGCCTCATTCGTGGCCTCCCAGTCTGTGGCTCGTTTCTTGTCCTCCAACATTTGCTGTTCAATCCATGACTCCTCCGATGTTTTTATGGCATTCTTCATGAGAGACTGCTCTGCAAACTGCACAGGAACAATAATGTAGGATGACACTATGAACCTGGTGAAGAGCCCAAATAGGCTCAGGAAGGTAGTCCCACAGGCCAAGGCAAGGAAGACATGGAAAAGCAGGTACTCCCACAAAGCACCCTGTGGCAGACTGCCTATTTATCAGGGACTGGAGTAAAGCAGGCTTGAATTATGATATTCCAAACTCCTATGCTCAGAAAGCCCTGACAACTGCAGACACCTCAGCTATGGCACTGAGTCTACAGCCAGCCTAGGCCTTAAGTTAAAGAATACTCATTTACTCATGACTCAATTTCACAATGCTGGAGCCTTTCTCACATATGTCCAGATGGGGCAAAGAGAAAAGATGACCAGAGAAATGAGCTGTGTGGACAAGGGGTGGAGGAAGCATAATCATGTAAGGGGGCTGTGTGAAGGGATGAAGGACCAGCATTGGCATGGTATGGGTGCTCTAAGTTTGTAGGACACTGAGATTACCACAGGTCAGGGTGTGAAATAGGACAGCATGTTCCAGGGAGTAAGTACAAACACTGCTTCATGAAGTTTAAGCTTTAGTTAACATTTCTTTTCTTGAGACAGGATTTTTTTTTTTTCTGAGACAGGATCTTGTTATGTTGTTCCAGTTGGGCCTTAAGCTCAAGATTCTCCTGCCTGGGTCTCCTTCTCCTGAGCACTGTTTACAGGCAGGCACCATCACAACCAGTGAGTTAACACTTTCTAATTTTGGCCATACTTGGGATTAGCTCTAAGAATTAAGTATTTTTTGGCAGTAATGGGGTTTAAACTCCAGTCCTCACACTTGCTAGAAAGACGCTCTACCACTTTAGCCATTCCACCAGCCCAGGAGTTAACATTTTAATGCATATATACATTCTGCCCACAAATGCATGTATGCTAATGAAGTAAAATGTAATTTTATACTTTGGAGAACAGTGGGGGAAAGTATTTTAAGTCTATGTTAGAATAGGCCAGTTAATATAGACAAACATGGGCTGGTGGCACATATGGGAGGCAGAGTTCAATTTACAGCACTGTTAAAAAAAAAAAAAAAAAAAAAAAAAAGCAGCTGAGTGCTGGTGGTTCATGTCCGTAATCCTAGCTACTAGGGAGGCAGAGACCAGGATGATCACTGTTCAACGCCAGCCCAGGGCAAACAGTTCCCGAGACTCTGTCTCAAAAATACCCAAAAAAGGGCTGGTGGAGTGGCTCAAGTGGTAGAGCATCTGCCTATCAAGTGTGAAACCCTGAGTTCAAACCCCAGTACCGCAAAAATAGAAAAAAAATTGGCAAACAATCTACACACAATTCTACAAAGAAGATACATACACGGCAAATAAACATGTAAAAGATGATCAGCGGCAGGCCGCTAAAAAATTGCTGAACACTATCATTAGGCACGTTAAAACCAATGAGAGCTGGAGGAATGGCTCAAGCAGTAAGAGCACCTGCCTACCAAGCATAAGGCCCTGAGTTCAAACCCCAGTGCTGCCAAAAAAAAAAAAAAAAAAAGAGAGAGAGAAAGCAAGCAAGCTACCACTACACATCTAAACAGAATAGCTAAAAACAAAACACTAGCAAGATCAATTGCTGGGAAAGATGTGGAGCACCAGCAACAAACTATCCATTACACTGGGGACGCACAACCCTGGAAGACAGTTTAACAGTTTCTTAGAAATCAAAGCATGGTCTTACAAGCTCTTTCTAGATATTTACACAACTGATCTGAAAACTTACGTCCACACAAAAACCTGCATGCAGCAGTTTATACAAGCTTTATTCAAAAACTGGAAGCTGGAAGAAGTCAATTTCATCTCCTGCTTGAGTCTCAAATTGAAAGTGTATTCCTTGCCTAATAAATTTTACTACCACTTTCACTAAACAAACAGAAAAACTAAAAAAACAAACAAACAAACAAAAAAATCACCCTGGAAGCAACTAAGGATGTAGCTGAATAGGTGAATGATTAAACAAACTCTTCCATAAATGGAAGAGTAAGTGATAAGAAAGAAGCTAACAAACCATGAAAAAACAGAGGAACCTTAATGCATACTGCTACCTAAAAGCAGCAGTTTGAAAAGGCTACATATCGCATGAATCCACTTATGTGACGTTTTAAAATAGGCAAAACCAGAGTCAATAAACAATCAGTAGTTTCGAGGAGGAAGGGAGCACAGAGAAATTCGAGGGTGCTGAAACTATTGTGAATAGTCCTGTAATGGTAGATACAAGATGTTGTTATGCGCTTGTCAAAACCCTTAGAACTTTACAAAACAAAGACTAATCCTTAATGTATACTGATTTAAAAAAAAAAAGAAAGAAAGAAAAAGAAGGGGAGGAGGGGATCCCAGAATAGAATGCAGACGGAGACAAAAGAATCTAAATGAATTACAAATGTATGCAAGGACCTGAGGGGAGTTGGTGACCTAAGGCACTTTGGAAATGAATAGAATTTAAAGGCAAAAGGAATTGCGCATATCACTGTACTCTGGGGGGTACTGGTTAATGAGTCTAACCCTGCTTATACATGTATATGCAAGTAGCAGTTATGTAAATGACTTGTGGGTGATAGGGTAAGGTTTCCCACCTTTGGAGAGGGAATTTACTCTTAAACAAGGGGAGAAGGCTAGAATGAGGCTTGTGGTAAAAGGATTTGAGTGGAGACATAAGAATACAGCCAAGTTTAGCTTAATATAGATTCAGATGGTTACATATTGATACACATACACACACAGGTTAGCATGTCACATGTCTCCTTACTTTGTTAGATGAGAGGGCCTAAAAGACAACCTGGTAGCCAAGAGCATACTTAGCACCTAGCTCTTAAGTTCTAAAACCATTCTCTTATAAGAAGTTCCAAGAGACCCTTGGAAAAGTGGCCAATTCTAGGACTAGAGGTAGAAATACACAAGATGAACCTGGACACCTTGAATCACCAAAAAGTGGGAAATGTTTTTTAATTTTTTCTTTCTCCATGTCTCCCCATTCACAATACAGACCAGCCACAGGGCCTGGGCTGAGGTGTATTATGGGGTAGGTTTACTTCGCTTCCACTCTCTACAGTGTAAGAACAGCACCAGGAGGCCAAGAAATATTTAATAAAAGTTGGAATAGAGGACAGGCAGGAGTGGCTCAAGTGGTAGAGCACCTGCCTAGTAAATATGAAGTCCTGAGTTCAAACCCCAGTACTGCCAAACAAAATAAATAAAAAGTTGGAATAGGGACTAGAAATGTAGAGCTCAGTGGTAGAGTATTTGCCCAGTATGTGCAAGGCCCTGGATTAGATCTGCAGCACCACAAACATATACATACACAAAAAGCTGGCACAATTTGATCAAGAAAAGAAATAAAGGTAGAGCCAGGTGCCTGTGGCTCACATCTGTAATTCCAGCTACTCAGGAGGCAGAGATCAGAAGGAATGCGCTCAAAGCCAGGCCAGGCAAATAGTTCTGGGAGACCCTCTCTCAAAAAAAAACCATCATAAAAAAAGGGCTGGCAGAGTGGCTCAAAGTGTAGGCCCTGAGTTCAAACCCCAGTACTGAAAAAAAGAAAGAAACAAAGAAAGATTAAAACTCAAAGTATAAAATGAAAACCCATAAATGCACACTGATATAAATGAATGAGTAAATATGTTAATAAATGGGGGATAAGTCCCCTGTAGAAAAATTTTAAATAATTTACACAAGTATAAAGTCCTGAGTTCAAATCCCAGTACCATTAAAAAAAAAATTCCTTAAGTGTGATTTCCTTTCAAACAGTACAGTATGGTAAAGGAGAGAAAGAGTAACTTTACAGTGGAGAAACCTGATAAACACTACTTCTGCCAAGTGATCAAGGACAACATCAACAGTTATAATCCCGGGGTTGGGGATTTGGCTCAGTGGAAGAGCACTTGCCTGGCAAGTGTAAGGCCCTGAGTTCAGTCCCCAGCACCGGAAAAAACAAACAAACAAACAAAAAAAAACCAAGGCAACAGTTATAATCCCATTCCTAGTATTTATCCCTAATATAATATAATGGCAGTTTACATGTGCTCTTCCTCCCCAAACCCACAAATGAGACCATCAAATTCCAAAATTTGTCAAAATATTCTTTTCCCCCTGCAGTACTGTCATCTGAACTCAGGGCCTCAATCTTGCTCTGCAGGCACTCTACCACTTGAGCCAAGCTCCCAGTCCAGAAGAGAAGCTTTCTACAATATAATACATTTGAGGGTTTCTCCTTAAAACTGTCAAGGTCACCTAAACAAGGGAAGAAGGAGGCTTCATGGCTCCAACTAATAAGAATGCACCATGCAGACCTGTAATCCCAGCATTCAAGAGGCTAAGAGACAGAAATTACGAGTTCATGACCAGCCTGGCCTACATGCTGAGACTTTATCTCAAAAAAAGAAAAAAGAATGTATCGAAATTGGTTCATACATTTGTAAGAAATGCACCAGAGTTATCAAGAGATAGTAATAGGAAACTTTGCAGGAAGGAAGGGACCAAATGAAACTCTGTATATTCTTTTCAATTACTCTGTAAATCTAAAACTGTTCAAAACAATTAAGTCTATTCATCAGGAAAACATAAAGCATTCACTTTTTAAAATTTTGTTGGTGGTTCTGGAGGTTGAACTCAGGGCCTCATGCTCGCTAGGCAGGCACTCTACCACTGGAACTATGCCCCCAGAGTTTTTGCTTGGTTATTTTTGAGACAGGGTCTCAGACCTCAATCCTTCTATTTATGCTCCCATGTTGAGATGACAGGCATGTAACACTATACCCAGCTACTGTTTCAGATGGGGTCTCTAACATATTGCCTGGGCTGGCCTCAAACCTCGATCCTCCAGATCTCCACTTCCTGAGTAGCAGAGATTACAGGCTTAAGCCATCATACCAGCCTAAATATTCACATTTTTAAAGAAAGACGCCAGGGCAAAAACTAACATTTATAATCCCAGCCACCTAGGAGGCAGAGATAGGAAGGGAGGATTGAGGTTGGAGGCCAGCTCTGGCTGGACATGGTGGTGCATATCTATAATCCCAGCTAAAGGAAAGGAAAGGCCTAAGTAGGAAGATCAAGGTCCAAAGCCATCCCTTTCCTTGGGGTGGTGGGTAGGGGAACACAATGGGCTGGTGGAGTGGCTCATATGGTAGAGCACCTGCCTAGCAAGCTTAAGGCCCTGAGTTCAAACACCAGTACAGCAAAAAAAAAAAAAAAAAAAGGGGGGAGACTATCTGAACACCAACTAAAGCAAAAAAAGGGCTGGAAGTGTGGCTTAAGTGGTAGATGGTAGAGTGCCCACTTAGCGAGGCTTTCAATTCAAATCCCAGTACCATCAAAAAAAAAAAAAAAAGAGGTAAAATAAGCAGTCAAACCAGGAAAAGTCATGGATGAATCTTATAAGCATAGTGTTAAGTCAAAAAAAGCCAGTCTGGCTGGGAAACAGTGGTTCACACCTGTAATCCTAGCTACTCAGGAAGCAGAGATCAGGAGGATCACAGTTTGAAGCCAGCCTGGGCAAATAGTTCTTGACACCCTATCTCAAAAAAATCCATCACAAAAAAGGGCTGGCAGAGTGGCTCAAGGCATAGGCCCTGAGTTCAAACTCCAGTACAGAAAAAAAAAAAGCCAGCTTGAAAAAGCTACATACATGTATGATTTCAATTAAATGACATTCTAGAAAAGGCAAAACTATAGCCAGTAAACAGATGAAAAACAAAACAAGGGGACTGAAGGTGTGGCTCAAACAGTAGAGTGCCTGCTTTTCAAGTATAAAGTCCTGAGTTCAAATCCCAGTACCATAAAAAAAAAGAAAATTCAACTAAATGTAAGAGGGCATGTTGGATAGAATCCTGCTGGGCAGGTGTTCTACCACTTGAGCCATGCCCCCATCCTTTTTTTTTTTCCTGGAGGCACTAGGGTTTGAATACAGGACCTCCCACTTGTTAGGCAGGCCCTGGATAGGATCCTGGAACAGAAAAAAGGTCATCAGATTACTGAAGTACTCTGCATAAACTGTATTAATATATTAACACTGGTTTGTCAATTATGATAAATGTACAACACTAACATTAATCACAATGGGGCATATGGAAACTCTTCACAATAATTCTATAAATCTAAAACTTTTCTAAAAAAGTTAAAAAACAAAACAGCTGAGTTCTAGTGGCTCACACCTGCAGAGCTAGCTACTCTTGAGGCAGAGATCAAGAGGATCCAGGAGGATTCTGCATTCCAAGGCCAGCCTGGGCAAATAGTTTGAGAGACCCTATCTTAAAAATACCCAACACAGCCAGGTGCAGGTGGCTCACATCCATAATCCTAGTTTCCCAGGAGGCAGAGATCAGGAGGTTCAAAGCCAGTCCGGGCAAACAGTTTGTGAGACCCTATCTCGAAAATTACCTTCACAAAGAAGGGCTGGTGGAATGGCTCAAGACGAAGGCCCTGAGTTCAAGCCCCAGTACAGCAAAAAAAAAAAAAGAAAAAAGAAAAAAAAAAGGGGGCTGACAGAGTGTGACTCAAGAGGTAGAGCCTAGCAAGTGTTAAGGCCCTGAGTTCAAACACCAGAACTGGACAAACAAACAAATAAACAAACAAAAAACCCAACCCTGTGTTAGAGGGTGTGTTGGTGTTAAAGGTGTTTCCTAAAATGAGGCAGGACCACTTTCTGTTTGTAGGAAGTGAAACCAGAATAAATGATCTCAAAGTCCCCAGGAGGTTGGGGGGGGGGAGGCAGGAGAGGAGAAGATGGGGAGAGAACAGAGAATGAAAATGAATGAGAATCTGTCAGTACACGCTGGGTGGGAAGTGCTTTCTGTATCCACGAGGCTGCTCAAAGTGTTTGTACACCTGCCCAGGCTCCACAACCAGTAAGCAGTGGGCCAGGCCTACACATTTCAGCCCATTTCAAGTTTCTGTGACCTTGGCTCTGTAACTGCTATAGTCAGGGAAGAAGACGCCAAGACACCCAGACTAAGTCCTGGTTTATTCTTTCCAAAGAGAACTCTATATTCTAAGTCTTTTGTTTTTATTTTATGGTGATTGCCTTTTTTTTGTTTGTTTGTTTTATTAGATTTTTTTCTTTTGAGACGAGGTCTCCAAAAAGGTTCCAGGCTGGCCTGGAATTTGCCATACTCCTGCCTCAACTTCCCAAGTGAAGAGATTACAGATGTGAACCACCACATCCAGCATGGAATGTTTTTTAGATTTCTTTTTTTGGTGGGGCAGGGGATTGAACTCAGGGCCTTGAGCTTGCTAGGCAGGCAATCTATCACTTGAGCCACTGCAGTCCAAGGACTGACTCTATATCCTAAAATGCCAGCCCTCAACAGGCATGAAAAGATAAGTGAGCCAGTTCATTGACAGGCAAATCAAGACCACAGAATGAGAACTGAGAGATTAATGGTAATAACTCCCTAATTTTATAGAGTGGTTAAACCTCAAAGGGGACCCAGAGAAGACATAGGACATTTGGGGCTTTGGGGAAGGACCAAAAACTCCATATCCAACAACCATACTGGGCACAGGAACATACTTACTCCTGGTTTGAAAGATGGTAGGCCCAGCCCTACACCAATGGTGGCCTTATTAGGATTCACCACTGAATTATAGTGAATATTCCGATGGTAGCTGACACGGATGGGTTCATCTTCATTCTGATGGATTCCATGGAATGTGTTGATAGGTTCTGCAGAGAAAGAAAAGGAGGGAGCATCCACAGGGGGCCAAGAATGGCAGGCTCAGATGAGGTACCATTAAGCCCTCACCTACCCACTACAGAAGTACCTGTGCTGTACTGGTAGACCTCCACAGGACGGTTGTACATTTCTGCCATGGCCTGCATCTCAATGTGGTTTCCATGGCAGTTGTTTTTCCGCTTCCGGTTGATATAGGTTGTGAAGTCTTCTGTGACATAGTTGGAGAAGTAGTCAGCATTCTTCATCTGCAGAACAGATTGGAAGATCAAGGTCTGCTTGCAAAGATCACCCCACCCTCCCCCTACCCCAAGGCCTCTAGAGGATCTCACCAGATAGTCCATGCAGTGCTTTCGCACAACCTCATGCATGTCCTGGTCTCCATATACCTGGTCAGCTGGTGGACAGAAAAAAGGAGAGGCTGAGGTCAGAGCTGCCACCAGAGAAGAATTCTGACAAGGGGCAAGGGAAACTCCCTTTCCTACTCCAAGACCTGGAGAGTTCTTGCCTTTGTGGGTTGGGAACTGCTCATGGAAAAAGAGGCAGGCAAAGACAATTTTGAAGAACAATAGAGTACAGGTGAGAAGGATACAACCGCAGCTCTCACTGGCAGATAACTTTGTTTAGGGCATGACAGGTCACTCAGACAAATCAACAACATTCTAAGTCTCCTTGGACATTCCATATTCCTTCTCACTTTTCACTTGAGGAAACTGAGACCTGTGGCTTGCCCAAGTTCACAAGAGTCATATAGGGTTTTTTTCCTTAAAAAAAAAAAGTATGCACAAGGCCCTGGATCCGATCTTTAACTAACACACACACACACACACACACACAGAAAGGTATGGATCCCATCTTTAACTAACACACACACACACATACACACACACACACACACACACACACACACACACACACACACACGGAGAAAGGTATGAAGGAAAAAAAAAGAAGGTTCGAAGCCCAATTCTGCCAGATGCTAGTGAGCCAAGCAGCCAGCAGCCAGAGACAAGATCCTCTGACTTCCTATGCCTCATCTATAAAATGGAAGTAAGACAGATCATGACCTGATAAGCCTCTTATGGGGATTCAATGAGATAATGTGTATAAAGTAACCAGCAGTGGGCTTGGGACAGAAGTCACTCAGTGAATCAGAGTCCCCTTCTGTGTAGTGAAACCTGAATGAGGGGTACTGTGAAGGTGACAGAAGTAAAATCCTAAACCAGGTCTACAGGCACTGCTATAATCCCAACACTCGGGGGAGGGCTAAAACAGGAGAATTATGAGTACCAGACCAGTCTGAGATGCATTGTGAGACCGTGTCTCAAAAAAAAAAAACAAAAAAAAAAAGTGAGCCAGCCAAGTGGTTCACACCTGTAATCCTAGAGATCAGGGCCAGCCCTGGACAAATAATTCAAGAGACCCTATCGAAAATACTCAACACAAAACAGCTGAGTGGCTCAAGTGGTAAAGTGCTAGCCTAGCAAGCATAAGGCCGAGTTCAAACCCAAGTACCACAAACAAACAAACAAACAAGAACCAGAAGCAAAATCCTGTCCCTGCCTTCAAGGGACATACAGTCTAGTAAGAGAGGCAAGACACACATGTACTCAAATGCAGCTTAATTCAAGCAAGGGCAGACCATGGACCAAATGCTCCAGGCACCATAAGATTTGGTTAAACTAAGAGAAGAGAGAACCTGGTTTCCTCTGCCCATTAAAGGATCCTCACACATGTCCCTTTGAACACTTCCTATCCTCTGTAATGCCTACTTCTCAAACACCAATATGTTACATTTTGGGTTTTTTTTTTTTTTTTCTTTTTTTGTGGTTCTGGGGATGAAACTCCGGGCTTCACACATGCTAGGCCAGAACTCTCTCAGCTACACCCCCAGTCTTTAGCACAGTTCCCATTCCCAGGGAAGCTCTATCACCACATTCATCCTGATCACACTGGGCTCCCACTGGAGGCAGAGGGCAGTTCACACATAAGCCATCCCTAGCTCAGGGTCTGATACAGCAAAGGAACAGTTTGCTGAGCTGCTACACAGGGTGGGGGGCAGGAGGCGCTTCTCCCTAAGAAATTAAAGTGGCCTTGAAGATTAAACAAGCCTGATTTCTACTGGCTGCCACAAGAGGGAACTTCCCTTTGTTTCCCCAGAGGGCCAATGCTCTGATGGGATCTCCCTGGGGCATAGAAGCAGGGACAGGACACTCAGGGAAGGCTCCAGAGAGCTCTTCCATCCCTGGCAGTCTACCCCTCCGAAGACCTCCAGAAGTCCTTTGATATCCTCCACTTCCCTCCCTGGAGGGTTCTGTACAGTAAGGAGACAAAGGCTGCTCTGAGATAGAAAGTAGGCTGTGCTTAAAGAGATCTGAGGGGCGTGGGGAGTGGGGACTGCAAAGGTGGGAAGGGGTAGCCCCTTCACAGATGTAAACAAGGATGTGGCTTCTGTGGCTACATGGCCCCCCACCCCTACCCAGCAGCACTTCCAGCAAGTCACATGTCCTGCACACAGGCTGGGGCCCCCCTGCTGCTGCCTTTCTTAGAAGCCAGGACCACAGAGCCCGCAGTGGCTGTGGCTGCCTGGGCTGCTGGAGGAGCTATTTCTGTAGGCTGAGCTTGGGTAGCCTGGAGGCAGGGCAGTATGCAGCTGCAGTAAACAGGAACTGAGATGGGAGCAAAGGGGTTAATGGCGGTGGGCTGCCAGGCTCAGGGAGATAGGCAAACACACACCTCCTATGGGTCAACAGTCACTTGCAGGCCTGAGAGCTGTATCTGCCAGAGCTAAATGCAGGAAAATGGAGGAAAAGAGGCAAGACTCCGGGACTGGGAAGGGGGCAGGAGGAGAACTCTATGAGGGTTTCCCCCTTTTCCCTGCTATTGACCCCTTTAGCTGGAAGTAAGCCTCTGTCATCTCCTAGCTGTGTGGCACTAGACAAAGCCTTTAACTTCTAGGCTGAAATCTCCTCATCCATAAATGGGGACAGTACCCCTTCTTCTACCCACAGGGTGCTGTAAAGACTACAGGGGAAGGTTTGCCAAGCACCTGAGGCATAGGACTTGGGCAACAAACAGGACCTCTACTTGTCACCATATTACTAGCTACCCACCCACAGAGTCAGTCAGAAGGCTATGGGAATTACTTATTGAGCCCTTCCGCATTTCTGTTGCACTTCCTCCACCACAGGAAAGCCCCAAATGCAGAATGGTGGCTACACCTCCTCTTGCAAGCAGGAATGACTTTCCCTTTACTGAACCCAAAGGTCCACAGCCTATCTCTGTGCTCTCCATTCAAAACTTTAACAACCAAATCAAACTAATAATACAGGTTTCCCAAATAGGGTCCTTAGGTATGAGAAAGTTACAACACTTTCACACTCATCATAGCTCTTGGGGGGACCCCCCACATTGATTATAGGTTGTACCCTAATTTTACAACCATTATAATGAAAAAAAATGTGGAAAGGAAAAACCAACAGGACCTCCTCAATAAAGGAGAACAGACACTTCTTCAAAGATAGAAACAGGGAAAGCATAAGCACTCAATTTTTTTTTTTGGTGGTACTGGAGTTTGAACTCAAGGCCTATACCTTGAGCCACTCCCAGGCCAGCCCTTTTTTGTGTTGGTTATTTTAGAGATACAGTCTTGAGAGAGAACTATTTGCCCGGGGCTATCTTCAAACCGTGTTCCTCCTGATCTCTGCCTCTCCAGTAGCTAGGATTACAGGCATGAGTCAGTGCCAAAACACTCTATTTGATTTAGCTTTTCTGTCCTAGTCCCATCTCTGTTCTCTAGGAAAGCCCTCCTCCTCCCGGAACATTGTTATTTGGAGCTTGGGCCAGGCTGGACTTCCCTTTGGGGGTGCTCAAGGTAGGAGAAAGAGCAGCCCAATGACCTGCAGAGGTAGGGGAATTCAGAGAACTTGTTTTGACAGAAACTGAAACTCCTCCTCTTGCTGACGCTGCACTTGGCCATCTGCACCTGCTCTCTCCCCTCTCATGGTCCAGCTGGAAGGGATCCCTCAGAAATTCTCAGCACAACTTGGTGTGGTTGCACAGACCTGTAATTCCAGCATTCAGGAGGCTGAGGCAGGAAGACCAAGTTTTGAGGCCAGCTTGGGATACATAAAGGGACCCTGTCTCAAAAATACAAACCATGGTAGAGCGCCTGCCTTACAAGCATGAGGCCCTGAGTTCAAACCCCAGCACCGCCAAAAACTTGTGGTATCAAAAAAACAAAACAAAACAAAGATATTCTTAACACATTAAAGAGACACCTGCATAGAAATGCACACTCGTACCCACATGCAGCCAGCAGAGCCTGCCAAAGATACTCAGAAACTAAATACCCACACAGCCAACCACACAACAGAGAATCTCACATGCATCAAGTAGATGCCCTTGCCACCAACCAGGAAAGACTAATGCTGTACAAGCCATGAGACTGTGCAGAATACCACCCCCCCCACACACATACACACACTTCCTTCCTAGCCTTTGCCAGGGGTAGGTAGGAGGAGGAATGACTAACAAATTTGCCTCAACCTCTCTCCCCTGCTGCCTGGGGGAGGTCCTTTCTCCTCAAGTTCCCTAAAATGTAACCAGTATTTGCCCAGGCTTCCATGGAGAAGCAAAGCGGGAGAACCTGAGTATTTTTAAAGGACTGTAAGTACAGGGTCCTCCCATTTGCTTTAGAGGCTTCTGGGAATCGCCTACTCCCCAGGTTACTGCCTGCCTGTCTGCCAGAAGTTCTGCTAAGGCCAGAAAAGAAAGCATGCTGTCTGAAAGGAACCTAAAAAAAAACCCACAGAAATGTGGTTACACACAGAAGGGGACGTCAGCAACCTGGTCTGCTCCCCACTGCCCTCCTGCTCTAGTGGGAACCCCAGTCTCACTGAGGAAAAGGGAGCCAGGACCTGTAATCCTAGCTTCTCGGGAGGCTGAGATTGGGAGGATGGCAGTTCAAATCCAGCCCAGGCAAATAGTTCACGAGACTCCCCCATTTCCAAAATAACCAGAGTAAATGGACTGGAGGTGTGGCTCAAGAGGTAGAGTGCCTGCTTTGCAAGCACAAAGCCCTGAGTTCAAACCCCAGTGCCACCGGGGGGGAAAAAAAAAGGAGCCAGGAAAAGATTCCACCCGCCTGTCAAGCAGCTGTGGTTTACCTAGGCCACAAACCCAACTACCTCAATGGACACACCCCAGTGGGGAAGACAGGAGAACACAGCCACCTGGACAGCCTGGTCTCTTAGATGTGTGTTCCACTGCTCAAGGATTCCTATGGCAAAGATGAGAAAACAGAAGGATGCAGGGCAGAGAGGTGAAGAGGCTGGTGTACAGGAAACAGCCAATGGGAATCTTCTCCTTTGTGGCCTAGTTCAACCTCAACACTGATGTTCTGACACTGGCTGTGTGGCCCAGATATGACAAGGTCCTGGCCTTCTCTTGAGACCTCAATTTCCTCATTTACAAAACAGTTAAAACTGATCTAAAATTTATCCCTCCCAGTGCTGATGGTCCATGTTCCAAGATAAAAAGGCCCAGGGGAGTGGGCCTGGCTAATATTTCTGGTCATAACACACATAGCTCCAGGAACTCCCTTCTGGCCCATGCAGACACATCCATGTGACCCCCACTTTGCTCAGAGGCCAGCACCACAGCTATGGCCAGGGCCAGAGATTTCTGCTGAGTCAAACCTACATGGAGAAAGGGAGGAAAGAAGAGAAAGAGGAAGAGATGCAGACTCATGTTTCCAGGAGGAGGTTATCTGAGCATAGCAGAGGCAGGGTGGGGCCACGGGATACCTCTGAGACTCAGGCTCCCACCTCCACTCCACCCAAGCCTTCAGTTCACTGATGCTCGTGAATCCCCAACAGGAAGCAGTAGGGGAGAATTTGGTACAAGCATTAGATATTGGTTCAAAAAGGGCTGCCCAAACCTCAGAGACAAAACAGAGGGCAGAAAACTACCTGCCTCAGGATTCCAAACAGTAGAGGACTAAATGCTCCTAGTTAGAAGTTAAGGCCCAGAGAAAGTCAAGGAACACAGCCGAAGTCACCCAGTCAGTAGACAACCAAGCTAAGGGCTCCTAGGACCATAGAAAGAATGTGTCCTTTACACACCTAGGGGTTCCCATGCTAGCTCTACCACTGATGATTCTGAGCGTGTCACTTTTGGGGTTTGAACTCAGGGCCTCATGCTTGCTAGGCAGGCTCTCTACCACCCAAGCCACCCTGCCAGCCCTTTTTGTGTTGAGTATTTTCAGGATAGGGTCTCGCAAACTATTTTCCTGGGCTGGCTTTGTACCTCAATCCTCCTTGATCTCTGCTTCCCGAGTAGCTAGGATTACAGATGTGAGCCACCTGCACCTGGCTCATTTTTCCTTTCCTTTCCTTTCTTTCAGTCTGTCTGTCTGTCTGTCTGTCTCTCTCTCATATCTATCTCTTTCTTTTTTGGGGGTGTGGTGCTGGGGATCAACCCCAAGGCCTTGCAAACGCACTCTACCCGGAGCTACATCCCCAAGCCCTCCTTTTCCAAGCCTCCATCTATTCTTATCTTTATCATGGGGTAATGATCCAAATTTTGCAGGACAGCCTGAAGCACCCAGTTGAATGCCAGTGAAACAGAGTGTTCTCTGTTTGCAATCCACCCAACTCCAACTCCCAGTTGTAAGTTCCTTTCAACTATTCAATGCATGGCAAGAAGTCAAGAGCCTGTAGGCCTTTGCACTAAGCCTAAGGTGGCTGCCATCTGTCCCTGTACATGCTAAGCTGAAAACAGGGGGACAGCAGAAGGCCTGGGGACAAAGTCCCCTTCCCAGGCACATGTATTGTGTACTCGGCACCAGGGAAACCTCTAGATGAGGCCTAGAGACCAGAGGCCACGTACTTCAGGGGATAGGCCATGGGACTTCTGAGGTTTTACAGAGAAAAGCCGAGGGCAGCCCAGTCAGGGGAAATGTGTAGCCACAGTGCTGATAAGGAAAGGCCTTCAACCTGCTGTGGTCAGCTCTTCCTGTAAGCTCGGGCCCCTTACTGGAAGGCCCCAATGGTGGTGGGGGGAGGGGGAGGTGTTGGGGTGTTTGGGGAGAATAGCTAGACACACACACACACACACACACACACACACACACACACACACACACACAAAGACTGCTTTTGATATGGGTTACACACCAGGTCCTCACTAGCTCCTAAGTGACCACTCAAGTCCAGATGCCTAAGTCCACTAGTGACCCTGTTTCCCTCACATCCAGCCTGAGGTCAATGCAGAGCCTAGCACCTATCAATTTCCCCCACCTGTTCTTTCTCTGCCTTCCTTTTATTCAAGATTCCCCCAAACCCAGCTCTTTCTCTAGGAAATATTCAGGGAGAACATGAACTAGAGCCAGAGGGGTAGGAGGGTTGGGATTTCCCCTAGTCCAACAGAGCCGATTGCCTGCACAGCTTCTGCTTAGTAGAAGAAGGAAGTGACCACTCACCCCCACCCATTCAACAAACATTTCTGGCCCTGGGCTTTACCAATGCTATTGTTCCATGAGGGTCTACTATATGTCAGGCACTGAAGGGGTTTACCAAAGTATCCTCATTAAACCAACGTAACAATGGTTTAATTGTTGTTTTTTGGCCCCAACATTTTACAGTTAAAGGAAGAGGCTTTGGAATAAAGAACTGCTTGCCCAAGGTCACAGTAATAATCAGTAATGCAACCAGGAATGGTACCTGAACCAGTCCAACCCACCAGTAGACATGGGGGTTACCCAGAGCCTGAAAAAAGAACAAACTAGTAAGAAACTCAAGGAGTCCTTGGGAACACCACCATTTGTTCCCCACCATTTGAGAAAACAGAGGCTGAGTGCCACACAACAGTTATGAGTTCGGGCCAGAACTAGGAGCTTGGTCTTCTGACTGCCAGTTCAAAGCTCTTATCAAGAGGCACTTTTTTGTGGGACAGGGCAGAGCTCCAGAGAGAGGACTAGATCACACTCCCAGTTTCTCCTTCATACTAGCACAGAACTTCACAGCTACTTATTGGGTCACAGATTCAGAACCAAAAGAGCCTCAAAGATCTAGCTCAGGCTGGCTAGCAGATAGTATTATGAAGTTATTAATTTTGTTACATGTGATAATGGCATTTTGATGTTTAAAAACAGGACAGAGTCTGTATCTGTTAGAGAAACATACAGAAATATTTACGAATGAAATGATCCTATTGTCAGGATTTTGACTTAAAAATATTCTTGGTTTCAGGAGAGTGAGAAAGAGTGGGAAGGGTAGTGAAGAAACAAGGCTAGCCATGTGCTGATGACTATTACGAAGCTAGATGGGGTATGTAACATTTCACTATTCTATCTACTTTCGTGTAACTTAAAAGAAAAAATCCATGATAGAAGAACCTTGTAAAAACCTAGTTACACACACGCACACACACGCACACACACGCACACACACAGAGGAATGGAGACCCCAAACATACAGGAGATAAGGTCTGAGTGCAAACTCAGGTAGCCTATATTCCTGACAACTATGTGCTATGGTTAAGAGCCTCACGGAGGGGGAGGGGGGCAGAGGGGAGAGATGGCCCAAACAATGTATATACATACAAGTAAATGTATAAACAATAAAAAAAAATTAAAAAAAAGAGCAAGAACCTCAGACTACTACAACCCAAGACTCCAAATATTAACTCTATCACATACTATCTGTGTGATCCTGAGCAAGTCAGTCCCCATCTGAGCTACCTTTCCCATTTGACAAATAGAAGCAACAACAGTCCCTATAGTCACCTAGCTTGAGGGAGAATAAAAAGGGTTTCCTTAGTGCCAGCAGAACAATCTGTCCCTAAGTGACATACATTATTTTATCATTGTTATTATTATTCTCATACTACCACACTCAGAGTCAGAAGTAAGATACCAACTTGAGGCTACAGCTTGGAACCCTAAGACATAAGCTACCTCTGCCTCAACCTTGTCTTAGAGGCTACTCCTGACAACTGGGAAACAGCTCAGGCACAGCCCTAGACCCTTAGGGCCTGAGGCAGAGACTCACCTACAGCCCGGAATAGACAGGCGCCGTCCTCCTTCATCTGCTTGATGATGAAGCCTTTCTTGTCCCGTAGGGCCTTTTCAAACCAGTGCTCCTGCTGGAGGGAAGAGGTGCACGGTCAGAAACAGGGAATGCCTATACCACCTCCCAAGGGCCCTGCCCTCAAGCTCCTGAAGTGCCCAATGACTGACAGGGAGGACACTAGGTAGTTCTTGTCCCTTCTGGAACACTACATGCCCACAGAACGGAGACCTTTTCTTTTACAGAATCAGTGCTGGGTGAGAATAAGACTTATTCCCAGAGGGGCCCCAAATGCCCTGAAAGTACAGACCCCATCTGCTTTCTCATTCCTGCTGATCTTGCAGGGCCTCACTCGGGCAGCCAGAGGCCCAGACTGGGCAAGTACCTGGATGGAGAGAATCTGGTTCTATTTCAAGGAGTTTCACCCAGGGGAGATGTTGAAGAGTAACTGACAAGAGCCTAAATCTTTAGCCCCTCATACAGCTAGGGTATTGTAAGATGTACGATGCAAGGCAAAAAGTGTGCAAAGTAAAGTAAGACCTCAATTGTGACTGAATACATTTAACATATATATACACACATGTATGTTTACACCCATCTATACATACAAACATATACACACACAAAACTGGGAAGGCTAGACAACAAAATACTACCCCTAAAGTGCTGGTGCTACAGGTGATTTTCCTACACCTTCCTTCTTAATAAAGGTGTGCAATACCTTGTCCAAAATTCCAAAATCCAAAAAGCTTTTGCACATCAAAAGTCTTTCTAAAAAGAAATTTTAAAATCCAGCCTTTATCTAACTCATGTTGCATCATAACCTGACCAGAACTGACCCATACCTAGGTCTCCCACTTGGAGGTGAAGATTCAAACATTTCCTACAAAAACGTTTAATCATGCAAAATTTTTCTGGTGGCATTAGGGTTTAAACTCAGGGCCCCACGCTTGCTAGGCAGACCCTCTTACCACTTGAGCCATTCTGCCAGCCCCAGTTGTTTGATCATGAAGTGCTGCTCCAGCTCTGCTGGAGCGCTAATACAAATTATATATACACCAGGTAATTTTTCTAAACTCTGAAAATTTTCTAAATCCCAAATCATATCTAACCCCAAAGATTCAGGTTAAACGAACTTGCACAAATGTGTTCTTTCAGATATTTAAAAAATAATGACCACGTACCAGTTAAGATGTATTTCCCATTTCAAACAAAGCAGAAGCAGCATACCTTTCCCAGGCCCCTCGCGCCCTCTGCCGGCCACCAGAAGAAGCCAGCCTGACCCAGCAACAGGGCTGCCTATAAAGTATAAGATCCCAAGCCTGCCTCTTGGAGACATCATCCAACCCAGGAATTTATAGGATTCCCAGCTAATGTTGACCACACAGAGGGTTATACAGTTCTGCAAGGCCATTTGTCCCCAGCTCAGGCAAGGGGTGGAACTCATCACCCAGGAAAACTGGGGGAGAGGAATTTCTGGCAAAGCAATAAGTGTAAGGTTTGGAGGTGCTGCTTGATTTTAGGTAAGCTGTGTAAACTCAAGAAACTTCAGTTTCCTATCAAATTCAAGAGTACTTTACAGAACTGTCAGGAGACTCAAGAGGAGTTTCAGAACCTGAAGAGACTTTGTAAATTACATACCATATAATGGCAAGGTGGCCACCAGTCATAAAAGGGAAGAGACAGGCATAGACAGACATAATGTATGATGTAGAGGCCTTCAAAAAGTCCTAAGTGAAGTCACTGGACAGGAAGGGATGAAGAGACAAAGGAATACCTATGAGACCCATCATCAGGGCCCACGACCCCAGGAAAGTGTGACTGCATTTCTAGCAGCGACAATGGACAGCACAGACTCCTATTTGTATTTAACTTTCCAGCAGTCCAGGTACCCCTCCTGGACTAGCTGTGGACTAGCACATTCTATCCAGAGTTACACCCAAGTCCACCCCTGCCCAACAGGGTCAGCCATCTCCCAGGACTATGGGACCCACCCCAGCCTGGAATGTCCAGCAGGAAAACTGCAACTGCAACAGTAGGCCCAGACCTGACAGAAGAGTTCTGAAGGAAAAAAAAAGGAGCACAGCAACCTTCCAGGTATGGAGAGAAGGAAGATAAGAGAGGAGAAAGGGCAAGCAAAGAGGGCTCCTACTTATTCATCCAACAAATATCTGAGTCAGATCCTGCGCTGTACAATGAGGATGAAGAAATGAATCAGATTTGGTATCTACCCTGATAAGCTCACAAACTGCCCGGGGAGGGGTAGAAAAACAGGCAATGACCACACATGGTGTACACAGGGCTTCCAAAGAGATGAGCACACCCAGGGTATTGTGAAACAGAGGAAGGGACCTGACCCTGACATTAAGGCTGGCACCTGAGCAAAGGATTAACACACCAAGACCTCTGGAAATGCTTGTAAATTAGATGAGAAATTATTAAGTCACTTCTGCCACTAAGCACCAGGGGTGACCAGAGCCTAGTAATGAGTTCAGTAGAGCAAAAGCCAAAGTAGGACTGGACAAGTAAGAGCGAAGGGCCAGGAAAAAATGAACCCACATTTAGTTGCGTGTCTGCCCCAGGCCAGGTGCCAGATGCAAGGGGTGACCTCATTTTATTGTCGATACTGGAGCCCAAGTGGCAGGAAGTACTATCCTCATTTTACAAAGTTGGAAAGGAGCTGGGGTTTGGACACCAGCAAAGTCTTGTATAGAGGCAACAGAAGACACCTCATGAGTCACAGCAGAGACATCCCTGGCAGCAGCTCCTGGGAAAAATCCTGGTTTGTCCCTAAAAATGGAGGCTTAAATAGACAGATCCTTTGCACAAACAGGACTTTGGTCCTAGGGCAGCCAGACTGGTATCTATGCCTGTATCTAGAGGCTGGACCACTGGCAGGCATCTCTGGCCTTCCTCTTCCTTTGGGAAAAAAATATTTAAGAAGTGCTGATGGGAGTGGGGTTGGAGTACAGCCCACCCACAGACAAGTTTAACCTGGTCAAGTCCAGGCCCTGAACTTTCAAGTTCACTTCTGAGCCTACAGGAGAGTCTCTCCCTATCTAAGACTTCACAGAGGGATGGGCAAAGCTCTCTGACACCAAAGTATCCCAGGAACTGAGGCAGGGCTCTGACTTATTAGTCTAAAGGCTTAACGAAGTCAAAGCCAGTTCCACCTATTATTAGCTATGTGATGAACTGCTCTAAGTCACAGTTTTCCAATCTGTGAAATGGGATAACAAGCTTCCCAGTAAGAGAGATACTGGGCAGGACCACTTAATGGGTTCCCTTTCCCTCTCTGATTGATAGCAGGCTGAATAATGGCCACCCAAAGATATCAGACCCTAATCCCTGGAACCTATAAATGTTATAATGAAAAGTGATAATGTTATAATGAAGTGATTAAGAATTTCTTTTGGAGCCAGAGGCAGTGGAGCCAGTGGCTCACGCCTGTAATCCTAGCTACTTAGGAGGCAGAGATCAGAAGGATTGAGGTTCAAAGCCAACACCGGCAAAGAATTCCGCGAGACCCTATCTTGAAAAAACCCTTCACAAAAAAAAGGGCTGGTGGAGTGGCTCAAGGTGTAGACCCCGAGTTCAAATCCCAGTACCACAAAAAAATAAAAATAAAAAATTTCCTTTGGAAGTTTAGCAAAGATTTATTTAGCAAAACCGTGTAACTCAAGGATCATGCATGGGAAGGTGACCTTGGGGTATCAGCTGAGACCTAAATGCAATCACAAGTATTCTTATAAGAGAGTCAGGGAGATTTGATACAGACAGAAGAAACCACACATACACACACAGAAAAGGCAATATGAAAACAGTGGCAGAGACTGCAGTGATGCAGCTACAAATCAAGGAATGGTGGAAGCCACCACAAGCTGGAAAATAACTGAATTCTCCAAAATAGATTCTGGAGATTCTCCAGAACTTCTGGAGAAAGGATGGTCCCGCCAACACCTTGATTTTGGGCAAGTGGAACCAATTTCGAACTTCTGGTCACCAGAATTGTAAGAAAATACATTTCTGTTGCTTAAGTTAACCAGTTCCTGGTAATTTGACACAGCTATGGGAAACTCATATAAAGCCCAAAACTGGTTTCACTGAAGCAATCTTTGGTATCTGAGCTCCAAGGGCCTTGTGGCTACAAGAAAACATGGCATGGCTTCCATTCTGCACAATCCACCTCCCTAGGGAAGGGGTTAGAATTAAGGCAGTAGGGGCCTGGAATCCTCCTTCTCAGCCTGGGAAGCTGCTGACCCAGCCTGCCTATGGGTGAATGAGCTGCCAATGAAGGGGAAGGGAGCAGGGAAAGATGGCAGTAGTAGTGGTAGCAATGGTCAGATGTCTTCTCAGAGCCCATGGCCAAGAGGTGTTTAGTATTCTGAGCCTCACAGTTCTGACCCAGCAACCCTGCTGCCAAGACCACCCTCTTCCCCAAACACCCAGGAACACTGACTCAGCTCCATAGGCAAAACACAGGCAGCCCATCCAATGAGAAACACAGACACACTGCTTTCAAAGGACCCACACAAGTCCTCCACAGCAGAAGCAGGATAGAGGAACAAGACCCCAACCTACTGCTGAGCCACTGATGGGAGGATTAAAAAAATCCCAAATCCTACTGTTTGGCTGACACACGGTACACCATGGATAAGCCTTGAACACATTATGCTAACTAAAAAAAACTAACTTACAAAGGACTCATATTGTATGATTCCACTTATATACAGAATAGACAAATAAATCAACACCAAAAAAAAGATTAGTGGTTTCCAGAGGCTGGAAGGAACTAGAGGGACTGGGAGATGATGGGTAAGGGGTTTCTTTTTTTGTTGTTTTTGGTGTGACTGGGGTTTGAACTTAGGGTTTCATGCCTGTAAAATAGGCGTCTCTTGAGCAGCACCTCCAGTCCATTTTATTCTGGTTATTTTGGAGATGAGGTCTCATGAACTATTTGCCTGGGCTGCTCTCAAACCTCAATCCTCCCGATCTCAACTTCCCAAATAGTTTAGGGTTACAGGCATGACCCACTGGCACCAGCTTAGGGTTTCTTTTTGGAGAGATGAAAATGTCCTAAAATTGATTGGTGATGGATGCACCATTCTACAGATGTACAATTTCAATTGTGGAATTGCATGGTACCTGAGTTACATCTCAGTAAAGCTGTTAAAAAAACAGAAACAGGTCTGGAAGCATGGTTCAAGTGGTAGAGCATCTGCCTAGCAAGCGTGAAGCCCTGAGTTCCAACCCAAGTGCTGCAAAAAGGGGAGGGTGATAGTAGAATGGTTCAAATAGTAGAGCACCTGCCTAGTAAGTCCAACACCTTGAGTTCAACTCCCAATATTGCAAAACAAACACCCACCCAAGGGCCTATAGCACTTG